ATACTCCCTATTACAAGTAACTATGGCCATTACAGAGAAATAATTATCCCTTGCGACATTATATTTATATAATGCAGTATGACATGCTCGACCAAGAATGATTGTATATTTAGAAAGAATGAAGAATAATTGTTAATATAGAGCTATAAAAGAGTTTGAGAAACTTCTTTTATACGCTTCTAAGAAACGACGCAATTAATAGGTCAAATGGCAAAAAGAACTTTCAATCTGGATTTTCCCTGCATGCATAAATATGCAGAATTGATAATACTATTGCGATCAAAACTCGTAATATTAATGACGCTTCAAATACTCACTTAATTCGAAGCAACAAATTATTATAAGTTAATAATCTCGCTTTATCGAACATCATTAATTTGAAAAAAAAAAAAAAAAAAAAATGGTGATCAATGTGGACGATCAATGAATTTTAGCAGCACTATATTTATAATATTAATTATGTTATATTAATTATATTTATTTAAATATCAGCATATTGATAATATTAATTTAAAAACATTTATTATTCTATGGAAATCTCGTGCAAAAGCGGCAAAATTTACCAGAAACAGATGAAGTCGGTAGAAAGTGAAAAGATTTGTATTTCAGATTTCATAAAAATTTTTTCGTCTCTATTTCATCTCATTGTTACGTGCAAGCGACTTACAATTTTACCAGAAATTATACTCGGAATTGTATACCGTGATAAGAAATTTAATTCAAACAAGAATTTTGATTATTAATTTTTGGTTATGGTAGCCGCGAATTCACAATAATCAATTGAACGACTCGCGGCTTTTTTACATTTGCAAAATTTACTTCTTACAATCTGTTTGAATAAAAATTTATATTTACGTTCGTAAACATCGGGTTCAAGAAAGAGGCAATGATAAATTTCATGCTGTATTTCAATCCAATACGAGTCGGTGAGAAATCAATTTCTGAAGCCTATCTACTTAACTTATACATAGTACCCTTCCATTAATTACATTTCTCTTTCAAATGAAATATAACACAAGTAAAAATAATAAATTCCATGGTACGCAGCGACTATTAAAATTATCATTTTATTTCTAAACGTGTATGTATATATGTATAGATATATATATTTAACATATTTACAACTCAGTACCTGATAACATTACGTATACATAAAGCATCTTAGGCTATACACAATAAAAGATTCAATTTATAGTCGTTGTTATAAAAACGTTGATCAATAATCGATAATCATAGGGATAATAATATGCGATAAGAGTTTAATCTCCACTTACGAATGTTAAAATTAACAAAATTAAATAAGAATAAAAGAATAGAGGTAATATGCTACTTAAACGAAAAAGGAACAAAGTATAATGCGACGTATCGTTTGAGAATGATCATATATACGTATATATAACGATACGCTACATTTCCTACAAAAAAAATTTCCTATGCAGAAGGATAAGGTTACACGATCTTGCAAAGCCTAAAGCAACTTTCATCAACGAACTCAACGCTAAAAACCTACCACGACAGAGAAAAGAGTTTCGACGAATGTACCTTCTTCTTCAATCGGTTAACTCGTTTTTCCTCCCCGTAAAAAACGAACGAGACAAAATATATGTATATGTTTGCACGTCGTATATGCTTCAAGGTAAGTTTCATCGAAGCTCAAATCTGTGTACAATACAAGTCTCCTACGTACTCGCGTTAAGTTATCAGTCTTACGGCTCTCAAGAGGAAATTGTACATTTTCTTTTTTCTATATATATATATATATATAGAAAACAGCGTGTGTATTACATTTAACAAGCATGCGTACCTTAATCATTTCCCTCACGATGTACATATATGCATACATAACAGACAATTCTACGTACAAACAGTTCTGTAAACGGTCCCTCAAACACCGGATAACTGTGTTCGGGGTAACTTGACGTAAACTAAGTCACACTATTATAATCTATTCTCGTTAAAAACAACCCTGCTTCATCATACATACACGTTTCCACCAATTGATGCATCAAGTACGCCGAATGCATCAAAATGTCAAAACAGCATTTTCTCCACGCAATATTAAGTTTTTATTACGCTTAGAAACATATATGGTAATAAAAGCTCATTTGCGTGATTGAATGACACATTGTTTCTTCTCAAATTATTTCACAGAGGCACTCGAAGAGAGGAACAGAATTCGTTTGTATCGAAACGCTTCATAAAGAAAAAGGATACTCGAGTTTTATGCTATCTCGCACTGTTCGAATGCCACCGTGTAATAACGAAATAACAAAATTTTCACGGAAATATAAAGAAACATCGTCTGAACAAAACTGGTTCCAACGCAACACAGACACATCCCCGCGACATTCTTTCCGAACTCTGCCGGATAAAATGTGAATTAAACACAATGCATTACCCCCGGTTCATCGAACTTGCAGTGCTTTATCTCTACGTTGCTATTTATATACACGTGTGCATACATATATATATATATATATATATATATATATATATATGGCGATCGTTCAATAAATATATATACAGAAAACGCGAGAAACTCTAATTGCACTTTGTGAAGAGAGTATTGGCAAATATAGTCTGCTATAGTTTAATCCCATTTAATATAATCTGCATAAAACTTAATATCTAATTATTTATATGTATATGTATATCTAGTGTTTGCGTATATATATGTGTATATCTGTGAAAAAAAATCTTCGCTTCCTTCGATTCTCCTATATTCTCAGTCGTTCGAAATATTCTTCCGTGACTTAATTTTTATTAATTGGCAAACGTGTACAATATCTGGAATGAATCAAGTGCGACAAGATATAATAGGAAGAAGAAGGTTAGGAGAGGGAGCTAATTATTGAGGCGATAAATCACATTGATAGAAGGGTCACACACAATGAGAAACAATAATATACATACAAGTATATAGATTGTGCTACAGTTTTTAGTGCTTTGCATTGCACTGAAATTGAACAAAATTAATGAATAATTATAGATTAATGAATGAACAAAAGAGATGAATTCTCGTTTATATATGTAAGATACAAACTGTCAAGAACTGTGAAGAGATGTTTCTTATTACAAAATAGAAAGCTGATGTTCTTGTCTTTTCTACTTGTTGACAGTTCATTTGTCGAAGATTTCTGTTTATAGGAAATTAAAAAAAAAAGAAAAGAAGAAGAAAGAAATATATCAAATAAGACAGTTAAGTACAAAATGGAATTATTTTGTCAATGAACACTCTGGGCACAAGTAGATCTGCGAACATACACTTTTACCACACAATAACGACACATTTTTATCCCTTAGTTTCTTTTTTTCCATTATGAACATGGAAGATCCAAAGTCATCGTCTCTGGTTGTCTTCCTACAAACTACCAACTGTCTCTCTAATAAGTATTCCATCAGTTATTAAAGAAAAAGAGGAAAAGTTCACGACAGGGTCGTTGACTCTCCAAGAATAGTCGTCCCATTTGTAAAAAATTTAACAAAGATTTGAAACTCTAGGAAGAATTGACAAGTACAAAAGATGCATGTACATGTCAAAAATCTCACGAGGACACAGCTCAATTTGTAAAGGCAAATGACAAAATCTGACTCCACATACGTACATGAAATGACAAAACATAATCACGTTATAACGACGTTGTGAATGTGAAAGTACAGTAAAGAAAAAGACGAACATGTGTTTAAAACAAAAGAACAGTGATATCATTGTTAAAAATCTGATCTGAGTTACGTCTAATAAAAAAACGTCGAAACCCCGTTGCATTTCACCACCAGGCGATATCGTCGTAAGAACGATGAATCTACGGAAGGAGAAAGTTGATCTCGATAGCCATTTAAAAAAAAAAAGCGAGTGAAAGATGACACCATCGCGTGCAAGTCGAGGTGCAGGTAAAGAGTGTGCTTTAACGTCGATAGTCGCCAGTCTGCAGTGGAAGGATTTCTAATTACAGCCCGTGTGTTCTTCTATAAACTCGACGCTCTCTCGCTCCTTGCAACTTCACGATCCTCCTTCAATCCCGATCCAGTCCGTTTCTTTTACAGGAACTGGAGGTGCAACTGTGTCATCGTGCCACGCGACGTCCCCCTGCAAAGAAAATCTCATTCCCTGAATATTTGTCTCTCTGGATTGTTGCATTTGGGCATGAAAGTTCAAAAGATCGTTAAAAATTAGAGACGTAGGTCGTACGTAGTACATGTGTGTGCACCGACATATTCCTAAGAAATTACAAACAACGTAAAGATTAACCTCTTGCGCTGGAGTGACATGATGCACGTCGAGAACCTTTTGTCGCACAATTGCAATATTTTCTCAGTTTTAAGTATATTTAAATATGATCCAGGCAAAACAAATAATAAATTTATTAATTCTTAGTAATAATTTCTATCCAGTGATATCGTACCGACGGTAGTTCAAAAAAAGCGACGAATTATTGTATACGGTTTGGTCACACTCGTTATGGTCCGTGAACTAGTTGCCAACGCAAGAGGTTAAAAAAGAAAAAAACGAATTCTTTCCTCTGTTTCTATTCTCTGTTGTGCTTTACGTATAGTACGTGCAACCGTCTTCTG